TCTGCTTATTTTTATCATAATCCTTTCATATTTACGAATATTTTTTTCCATATATTACAATCAAATGAGGCAAGAAATGCACTGTAACAGTGAAAATCACTTTTATTTCCCAAGTACTTTCCATCTCTTTATTTTCAGCGAAGAAATATATGAGTAGCATACATTTATTTTTTAAAAAAACACCTTAAAATGAGATATTTTTGTATTTTTTTAAAGTAAAAGATAAAATTTCAGTAACTACAATGTATTTGCTTTTATTTTTCAATCCTTTTTCCAGGTTCAGTCTGTCCATCTCTGATATTTCCAGTTTCCAAATACTTGTAAGCAATGGTAATTTTTTTTTGACTCTTGATGAATTCTTTCACTTTTGATGTATAAAATAATGTACTGATCATTTTCAGATATTGGACATACAAATATTACACACATAGGCCAACGTTGTCATTTGTTTGTTCAAGCATTGTTCATGCTCCTGTTAATGAACCTCATCTGCTCAGCTCTGATATTTCCATATATATCCGCCAAATATTTTTGCACAATATGTTTATACAACATTAATTTTAAAAAAAGAGACTTCAGATTCTTGAAGCCTTCAACATAAAATCAAATCAAAATAACATATACTTCAATTTGGTAATTTGTGCTTCAAATATATTTAATAAGTGATAAATAGATTTAGCCCAGTGAATGATTTCTCTTGTATGTTAGCTCATTTGTTACATTATCATCATCATCATCATCATCATCATCATCATCATCATCATAATAATAATAATAATAATAATAATAATAATAATAATAATAATAATAGTACACAAATGGCAAACATGATCGAGCTGAGTTTAAAAATTATCTAAAAGTTGAAAAACGAATAATATACACAGTTATTCCCTGATCTTGATAATGGTCAAACACGTGGTTGGAAGCATTCAATCCTAACTGTTTGGACAATATTTACTTTCATTGGAACTATGGGTTTTCTTTGTTTTAAACAAGAAAAATTAAGTAAAATATAAAAGAAAGATTCATTTTCTGTACTCTTTAATCGATCAGATATTCATGAAGGACTGCTGCCTTTTCATACATTATATATATTTATATAGTTTCTCTCTCCCTCTTTCTTTCTCTCTTTCTTTCTCTCTCTTTTTCTCTTTCTCTTTTTTCTCTCTCTTTCTCTCTGTGAGTTATTGTGAAGTAATACAAATTGTACACTTGTAATTCCTTTCCTTGTCACTAAAATACCAAGCAAAGCCTGATTTCAGCATAATGTCCACTTGTCATGGTTTGCTGGAATATCAGACAGTATTACTGCATTGGTCATGTACAGTTAAGATATTTTATCTGAAATGTCTCTTCCTGTTGCCTCACTATCTCAATTATGGCTTCAAACTCAATCTTTGTCTAAATCTCACTATTCTGTCACAGACTCGGGAGATATATACTGAGTGATCACTTGTTTCGACCTGAGGTCAATTTCCATTTGGGAATAAAGTATTAGGTTGGTGCAAAAATAATGACGTAATAATGTCGTTTTTGACGTATTTTTTAATGTCAAAAAACGACATTATTACGTCATTATTTTTGCACCAACCTCATATATTATTATTATTATTATTATTATTATTATTATTAAACAAACATCAGATTAAAGTAAAGGAGTCTTGCTCAGCAACCACCATTAATTTTTCTTATTTATATACATTGTGGCATTATTTACATTATTCGGACTATTGTCCTCATCTTTGTCACCATATTTATTACAACATTTCGGCCGTTGTACACTCCGGCCTTCTTCAGGTGGTTGGAATGGCGAACTGAACCCTTTATTTTGCTCACTGGGGTAGACTGTTCTAGTTCCACGTGCCATGTTTGATGGATGTCAGTTATCAGTTATCTCCTGTTAATTTCCCTCTGAAAGTTCTCCACTGCCTTAGCCTTAACTGATAACTGATATCCATTAGACATGGCATGTGGAACTAGAACAGTCTACCCCAGTGAGCAAAATAAAGGGTTCAGTTTGACATTCCAACCACCTGAAGAAGGCTGGAGCATACAATGGCCGAAATGTTGTAATAAATATGGCGACAAAGATGCGGACAATATTCCGAATAATGTAAATAATGTACATAATACCTCATCTCAGAAATATAGACAAACATTGTGGCATGTTTGAAATGGAATTATGACAGATGTGAAAAATAGGAAATGAAATTTGTTTATATACATATATATATATATATATATATATATATATATTGACAATTAAAAATGGGGCCACCTAAAACCATTGCTTTATGCAGCAGACATTAATAATGCACAAAAAGCCCACAAAACCATCATTTGTGCTGGCTTCAGTGTGAGCACAGATCCTTCTCTCCACTGCAGCTGTTCCCCAGGGTTAGGCAACTCTCAGTATAATTTTCCTCAGTTGTGACTCTGTCCTTTCATGGAGCCACCCCGGAGCACATGCCGAAAGACAGAGATGCAACTGAGAGATGAAGAAACTTTAATAAAGTAAATGTGCCCTTCAGCAAGATTCAAGCTTGTGTTCATCTTTGCAGTAGAAAGCACTATCCTGTCTAGCTTGCTTTGTCTGCTCAGCTACAGCAAGTTTCACAGTCAAAGTTCTAATTGCTTTGAAGCACATTCATTTGTTCAGATTTTCTTGAAAGCCATATCTACTGAGGTAATGTAAGCAAAGCAATTTTCTAGAGAATTCATGGATTTTATTTTTTAATCCCTGAAACCTTACTGCCATGGGTGACCCTACCAACAGATGGAGCTCCCGACAGCATTACATTCAGGTTCTTTGAGATGTGAAAGCTCCAAAACTGTCTATGTAGCAAACATTTCTCTTTCATTTCAAAATCATTACATTTTTTCTTTTATCTTATATTTGTTCAAATTACAATCATAATCTAACCAGAATAAATCCATGACTGCCTCACTATTTGCTACTCTCTAAAAAAGAAGTCTATTTTAGCATTAATTGTAGAATGAGTCATTTCTTTCTCTTGTTCCAGTCTTATTTATTTTTTCTCACCTTCAGATCTGTTTTAGGTATAACAGTATTAAATGGAGATTTTTTAAAAATCCCTTGAGGAGACTTATATAAAAAAAATGCTTAGAGTATCCAGATTTTCCTTCTATTTATTTATTTATTTAATCAATTCACCCAAAGCAAGGCATAATGCCATTAAGATGCAAGGGGATACTAACAGTGATATGTAGAGGTTTGGTGATGTTTGATGATCCCTTGATTGTATGCCCCTAAGACTCAAGTAGTGGGGCTATAGAGCCTAGTATGGTCAGATGTGGATGAATTTAATGTGGGGTATCCAAGCTCATAGGCTCGGCCAAAATTCCCTGTAGACCCTGTATAAAATGGAGTTGGGTAGCTGTTCTCTGAGATGAAACTCTCTGCCCTTCAACAGCACAGTTGGAGACAAAGCTCTAATTGCAGACCAACATACAGTATTTACTACTGTATTTATGTGAATGGGAACATACCCATTATTGTCCATAGATATGCTACAACAGAAAGGCAGCCTAGAAGAAAAAAGTTTGGGAACCACTGTCCTAGATATAACATTGCTAGAGTGCCTAATCCTCTCCCTATAATCCTAATGGGTTATGGGCCTCATAATGCCATGACATGACTTAGCTCAGTTTGGCACAAGGCTAAAATAGGTGAATAAATGTAGAAATATATATGGAGGCCTGACTGTTTGTCTTTAAAAACATTCTTGTTTTGTTTTGTTGTTTTTTTGCCTGAGTTTGTGGGTTGCATCACTTGGCTTCACCAAAAGCGCCTGTTAGCAGGCACTATTTAAGTCTATAAAAAAAGCAAATATTCTCTCAATTTCTCTCTTTAACTCTTGCTTCCAGATATAGTTGAATGTAGGTAAAGAATTCAGCTTTGTTCCTCAGTTAACTGAACTCTTGTACCCATGCACATACATACATGTGTATCACACCTGCACAAAAAAACACATATTTATAGCTATTAAATGTATTTTCCTTTGGTTGTCATTGTGTACATATATAATTCCTTTTGTTAATAGCATGCATTAATTATCATTTGTTTTAAATTTCATGTTTTGTGTTATTTATTTTTGCCTGGACTCATATGAGTTCGCTAACCTTATTTACCTGGTAAATGTTTCAGGAGCCCAAAATATTTAATCCTACAAGAAGTTCAAACATTGACTACTGGTACTGAAGAGAAATATACAATATACTGTAATATGAAACTGGTTTATTTATAAGTGCACATGTGTATTTGCACACAACATGAAAATAAAGAAAAAAATGTCCAAAATTCTTTCTGTAAAAGAAGACTTATTTTGTGTCCAGTATTTCTGTTGCCAATTGCTGTTTCTACCAAGTCTTGACCAGTTTAAGAAATGGGCTTCTTTTGGTTTTAGCACAGATACCATTCTCCTATTGGGAGGAGAAAAATCAGAAGACAAAATAAAACCATGTGACATTGGATTTAAAAACAGGTTCCAAAAATACACAACTGATGTCCTTTGAGATGGTTGTAATGTATATAGACATTAATTAACTTATTGTCACTGTAACTTAGTGGATGTAAGTTCAATCCTTGGATCAAGTAGTGGGATACATACATCCATGTTCAACAGAAACAAGTGAGAAGTGGCAGATTGAAAAAAGAAGCCAAAAAAAAAATTTTTTTTTTTTTTCTTTTTGGCTTCTTTTTTTTGGCTCATTGAGCTACCCTCTCACTGGGTGATTTTGGTCAGTGTTATTACCGACTATGAATCCTGCCTTCTTGAACTCACCTGGATGGATAAAGGTGCCTATTTTTGATCACAAAAACTGACCATCTAAAGATTGAATGCTGCACATGAAACTGGTAGTCATGGTCAGTCGCTTTACTGAAATTTAGTTTATAGAATTTAGCTCTGCCTCTGTGTGGCATGGGGCACTCTACATTTTTTCATATGAATCCATAAGTAATTTCTTTTCAGAATTATTTATTTCCCTTCCTTATATATACAGATAGATAGATAGATAGATAGATAGATAGATAGATAATAATAATGGTCTATAGATATATATAAATATATAAATTTCCAAGAGGATTGAGTCTAGATAGAGCTTAATGTCCAGGACAGAGCAAGATGTCTGATGAATTGGATCATGATTACAATTCCAATGTAATAAATTATAACCATAGAATATTAGTGTTTGAGCCTTTTATATTATATATATATATATATATATATATATATATATACAGACAAGAATATCCAGTGTTGTATGGACCAATTCCCTTTACTTTGTTCTGCTATGCAATCATTTCTTTAAGGTGTTTGCATTTGCCATGAATTGGTGTTAGTGAAATTGCCATAATTAAGGTAGGGAAATTGACTCAAGCATTTTAATAATTGCTTATTCGATATTATAATTCATATTATTTGTTATATTTGTGTGAATTGATTTTCTTTATATGGATCTTTTCATAATAAATGGTCTTAATATTTAAGACGTTCACAGAAATAGACATGTTCAATAGAGAAAAGTTCTTTACAGCAGAAGAAGAGTAGTTCCTGTCATCAGTGAGTGTTTGGTCTCTTGCTGCTACATTTGCCTCTTTTGTGTAGACACACTGCTATTCTTTTGAATTGACTGACCACAATTTGTTGCAAAGCCCTGTATTCATCTATTTTCAAAAGATACAAACTCAAAAGCTTTTTTTTTTAATTTACTCAAGTCAGTAATGATTGGTTGCTGATATGTTTTCTAATACAGATTCAAATTTTTTAAATCTTATTTTAGAACTTATTTTTAGCTAGTTTTCCTACAACCTTCTCTCTCTCTCTCTCTTCTCTCTCTCTCTCTCTCTCTCTCTCTCTCTATATATATATATATATATATATATATATATATATATATCATTAACCATCTTCTTGTGTATTTCTTTTTTACATATTCCCTGAAATACTTACATGTTATCTACTTTAAGTATTTAATTTTGATAAATGTCCTACAATATGTTGTTAACTGGGGCAAGAAATGGCTTCTTAATTTTCATACTTCCAAAACAAAACTGATCTCTATTAATCATCTGAAAGACCCCTTTTCTGCCTTCTGTTGGCACAGCTAATGCTTAACTTCAGAAGAGAGATTCATTGCACCTTCTCGGGATAAGATTCTCTGCTGACATGAAGTGGAAAGATTATAGTGAATCAACTGCTAGGTCTTCTGCCAGGAAAAATTTGTTCACTATGTCGTGCTAGACAATTTTTATCTGCAGATTCTATCTTATATATTATAAACCTACCATTCATTCATGCCTTGAATATTACTGCCATGTATTGTCTGGTACTTCTACTCTACATTTACAAATTCTTGATAAAATCCAAAGAAGAATCTGCAGTTGCTCCTGACCTTTGCATCTGTCACCATTTCCCCACTGCTGTAACATAGCTTCCCTGTGCCTTTTCTATAAATATTTTCATGGTAATTATTCTGCTGAACTTTCTGCTATGGTACCTACATTTTATAAATTTAAGTGTATTACTATATAGGCAACAAGGTCTCACCAATTTACCGTTGAACTTGTGAGTTGTAACAGTAAGTTCTATGCTAACAGTTTCTTCCATCACACTTCTTGTTTGTGGAACTCTCTTCTGACTTCATACTTTCCAGTCAACTACAATCTTCAAAAGTTTAAATGCAGTGTCAATCATTATCTACTATATTCTTGATTGCTTTTTTACTGTTCTCACTTCTTAATTATGTTTCTTTTTTTTTTTCTTATTTTTTCACACTCAGTAACCCCTTGTGTCATAGTGGCATTACTGCCTTGCTTGGGGTGAAATTATTAAAAAAAAATTTCTTTATTATAATACTTGTTGCCTAAAACAGAGCAATTTTGATATAATTTCTCATGGTAAAAACTAAAAAAAAAATACTGTTTTTTTTTTTCAACTCATTCATATTTTGATTATTGGAAATTATTTGTAATTTTGTCAGCATTTCTATCAGAATTACTCGGACAAGCAATACTTGATTTATCACCTAAGTTAAGATTGCATATCTTATCACATGTTTACCTTTAGACTCAGTTATCACTCTTAACTAAATATAAACAATCATTATTTGAATTATTATCTACAAATGTTTTCCTATTTTTATCTGAAAAATACTATTATTTACAAATGTCTACACTTAAGGTGACAGTCCATCCACAAGTTCCCAGTTATGTATATTATTATTTATTTCAATGAAGAAATGTTCAGATTTTGCAGGGGCTTGTATAGCATGTATAGAATTTAAAGGTTGCATGGTGGGATATTGTAGGGGTGTACATGTTCGCATATTAACAATTAAAGCATACAAATACTTTCTACTACATTTATTCTCTTTTATCATACAAACTGGAATGAAACAAAGTTCTAAAAGTTCTCTGTCTCTTGGGTATGTTTGTTTTGCTATTGGTTCAGAAGTTAGGTTAAGTAAGTATAAGCATCGTTATAATGGCTGAGCTCAAGTCAGCTTTGCGCTGAGTTGGAACAATCAAAGAATGAATTCATTTACTTCATAGGTGGAGGTTTTGGAAGACTAATGCAAACACTAAGCAGTGGAAAGTAAAAAGAGTTCAGTTGTCAGTTGATTGGAGGAAAGAGGCATTCCCAGTGGGGACATAATTTCTACCTGGTGCTACATCTTGGAAAAAGGGGGAGAAAGAGGAGGAAGGAAATGTTTGTCTTTTATAGACTTAAACAGCATTTGATGAAGCCAAGTGAGGTAATAAAATTTTTGGTTACTTCGTAACAAAATGCTTTTCATTTTATTATTATTATTGTTATTGTTATTATTATTTTTTTTATTATTATTTTATTTATTGACTTTATATTATTTTTCCATAGGTACTTCAAAATATTTCCCAATATGGTCAAACTGAAGCCATACTTTATCAAAAATCATGGAACATAAAGTTTATTTAAAGTATGAGAATTTACTTTATAATCATCGAGATGAAATTACAGTATGGTTTTGCATCTATTCTTAGTCAATGTACTATAATGCTATTGGTCCTGACCTGATGTAGTGACAATATCTGCTTGACTTTCTTCATCTCACAGAGTTCACAAACCAACTCCACAATTTCAATCCATTCTGCAATTGGTAGATCGGTAGCAGCCCCCACTGAATTCGGGCATTAGCCTAATATCAAAATTTCTGTCTGCCATGATTGGGAGGAAACCCAAAGTAGGTTGTATCTAAATAGGTCTCTATTCCTCAGATGTTGTTCATACAATACAAGACGCTGCTTGTTCAATCTGCTGTTCTTGTGTTGTTCCACACACTTAATGAACATAAAATCACTCTCTCAACTCACTGCTTCAGTCCTCTTCTATCAGGCTAACACCACAGCTGACCAACCAATCAGCATTCCTCGCTTTTGTTCTCAGTTACCTAGGCTAATAGCCTCCTCCAGGCTGACCAGTCAGCACATGGCTTGCTATTGGTTGAACCATGTCAAGCTGTTCAAAAAAGTCCATTACAGCACACTTTTGGAACAGTCCGACTGGAGATTAATGCCATTCTGAAGGAACAAAATGCTGGTGCCACATGCCACATGTTGAGGTAAGGAACTTATTTTCCTTTGCACCAGACGCAAGCCACTCTGGCTCGCTTGCTTCTATGTGACTGTTCACCACAGATGTTTTTTGTAGCAATTGTTCTAATAAGTTATTCTGCTTAGTGCCTTGAATGCATGAAATTAAGCATGCTTTGAGAATGGCAACTAGGTCTCACTAATTTACTGTTACTGTTTTACTAACTAGATGCAACTATTTCTTCTATTCTAATAGTTTATTTTCTCACACTTCTCACCTTCCAATTTCTTGCCTCTCTTCCACCTTCAAAAATCTAAATGCAACATCAATTGCCAACTTCTTTATTCCTGAACTCTATTTCTTTATTGCCCTTTCTCCTCCCTAAAGTCTTCTCGTTCTCTTTCACTCCCTGTAACCCACCGTGTCATAGTGTCATTGTCGCTCTGCTTCGAGTGGAATGATTATAAAAACAAAAATTTAATGGCTGAATTTTTACTGTATTGGATGAACTGTTCAGGAGTTTGAGAATTAATATTGACAGATCAGAAAGTTGGTTCACTGTGTTGTGCTTGACAATTTTTCTCTAGAGTCTATCTTACAAATTTATAAGTCTACCATTTATCCATTCTTAGAATATTACTGCTATTTATGTTCCGGTGCTCCTGCTATATATTTAGAGATTCTTGATAAAATCCAAAGTAGAATCAGCAATATTATTGGTCATGACCTGGCATCTCAGCTTCAGCCACTTTCCCACTGCTGTAAAGTTGCCTCCTGTGCCTTTTCTATAAATACTTTCATGGTAATTGTTTGGATAAACTTTTTGTTATGGTACCTAGATTTTATCAATTTTAGTGCAGCATTGGATTGGTGGTCAGGTTTCAATTTACTGTCAAGTAGGCTAAATGTAACCATAAGTTCTATGCTGATAGTTTCTTCATCTCACACTTCTCACTTGTGGAACTCTCTTTCCAGCCAACTTTAATCTTCAAAAATTTAAATGCAATGTTAATTGCTATCTACTGTCCTCCTGATTACTTTTCTTTTGTTCTCACTCTTTAGTAATGTTTCTGTTCTGTACTTCCTCCACACCAAGTCACCACTTGTGTCTTAGTGGCTTTACTGCCTTGCTTTGGTTGAAATCAGTTAAAAAAATTACCTCAGTTTATGAGTACACCACCAAAAATCTAGATGAGCAAAGCCTGGCAGCTGATCTATGCCTTGACTTTACAGGTAAGAACTGGCTTGTAACATTTGATACTTACAAAACCAAGGTAGCAACATTTAATCATCATGGAGCAGACCCTGGGTTTTCTCCTGTCATGATAAATAGTTGTACTCTGGGAAAATTGTCTGTTTCTTGTATGGCACTGAAAAATACCTACTTCTGCCATGCTTTATCACTACAAGATCCAGATCAAGCTGAAAATGAAGTATTGCTGCCATATATGGGTTGGCACATTTTTTTTAATCATTT